TTGGCTTCATGTGGCCAACTTTTCTGATTTGTCAAGAAAAGCTGGAAATCCCAGCTTGAAGGATTTTTAAATGCTGGCTTCTAATTCAAGTGGTTTTTGGTTTTTTTTTTTTTAATTTTTTTAAATTTTTATTTGTTTTTAAAGTCCTTGAGCCAAACGAAGCCTGTCTGTGGCTTAATGTGGCTTGCACACCACTGGTTCAGGATCTCTGATAGACACCATTAGAAAAAGACAAAACATATCATGTAGGATTGCAGGTTAACTGCACCTGTAACATAGGTCTAGTGGTGAGAGCAATGGGACAGGCACAATGAGGAACTGCCACAGGAGCCACCAAGTGGCCAGATTAAATCAATTCTGGAATTTAGGGACAACACAGCTTTCCCCAAATGGTGACTGTCCAGGGGGATTTCCTCATGGAATGAAGGTAGGGGCTTATTGGGTACGATTATGGATTGGGGCAGAAGGCAAGGACCTTAAATATATCTTCATACCCAACACAACATGGTCTGCAGGGCCTGTAATGGAACTGCTCCCTGGAAGCCAGAATAAGTCTGTGTCTAGCCCTTCAGATCACTAGAGAACAGCTATGTTCAGACTTGGCTCTTCAAAATTTGAGACTTCCCCCCCAGAGCAACTCAACCGATTCCTCACTTCTTCCAGAATGCAGCTACTGAACAAGAAGTACCTTTAGAAACATTAAGCCAGGGCCCCTGGGTGGTTCAGTGGGTTTAAGCCTCTGCCTTCGGCTCAGGTCATGATCCCAGGGTCCTGGGATAGAGCCCCGCATCGGGGTCTCTGCTCAGCGGGGAGCCTGCTCCCCCACCCCCCCGCACCCTCTGCCTGCCTCTCTGCCTATTTGTGATCTCTGTTAAATAAATAAAATCTTTTTTTTTTTTTTTTTTTTAAAGGCAGGAGCAAACATGGAGCAAAGCTCCTACAACTTGCTTGATGCACATTTGACAGTCACACTAACAGGCATAATATGTATTTCTTAGTTACTAACAACCTTTCTGAAGAGTAGGACGGGACAGTGGTGGAACTGGGTGTGGGCAGAGGCAGGAGATCACACAGATAGGAAAACGTCATAGTATTTCCTTTCTGGAAACAATGGGGGGTTTGGCGTCCTTTTATTAAATAAGATGCCGGACAAAATTATAACCAGCAGTTCCTCTATGAACGCGCTCCCAAAGAGAACCATAATACACATATCAATCAGGCTAAGAGGAGCAGAGACCAGCGTACTCTTTCTTTCTTTCTTTTTTTTTTTTAAAGATTTTTATTTATTTATTTGAAACAGAGAGAGAGAGATCACAAGTATGCAGACAGGCAGGCATAGAGAAAGAGGAGAAAGCAGGCTCCCCGCTGAGGAGACAGCCCGATGAGGGCCTTGATCCCAGGATCCTGAGATCATGACCTGAGCTGAAGGCAGAGGCCCAACCCACTGAGCCACCCAGGCGCCCGACCAGCGTACTTTCATGTTTCACACGAAAACAACAAATTCTGTGCTCCCATCTTCAAAAACGGCATTCAGACATGGAACAGTGGCTTCACAGTGCTGAAGAACCCACCTCTTAGGAAATCATCAGAAGTGACTTTTTAAGTGTGGCATCTGAGCCTAGGGGAGTAAAGACTGGGTATGTTTTCTGTTGAGAACTTTCTGATAAGAAAATGCCACTTGACTAGTTTCTAACAATGGACAGGGCGGGGGAGTGGGGGGGGGGATGACAACACTTTTTAAAGCCTGAAAATCTCCAGATTGTCAACTACGTGCCAGACGCAGCTCAGGACACCGTGGTCTCAAGGATCTATTTGTGGTATAATCATTTACGAGAAGAAAACAAAACACCTTGAGCTTTCTGCTTCATAGATGGTCCTGTGGTTCAGAGAGTGAACCACAGTCAGAGTGGAAGAAAGAGAAATGATGATTGCTACAAACTGTGTAATCCTGACCATGTTTCCTTTCTCTCCCTACTGTAGGAAACTCAGAACAATAAGCAAAGTGAAAGTCAAAAACTGAGGGATTAAAGAAGAAATGGTCAGGGCCCCATAACAGAAAAGATCAGGCTGCTTGAGCAAACAGAAGCCGCATTAAACCTGTTGAGTGAATTAATAGTTTTTAATCCTTTAAAACAAACACTATAATCATATAGTGCACACAAGGAACTGGTCCTCCCAGGTATGAGCGAGTTTGTTTTAAGCAGGTCATTAACCTCATAAACAAATATTTTGCACATAGCCATAGGCACCTTAACTCCGAGCAGACTGGGCAAATGACTGTACTGCTGAGCTATCAAAATTTATCAGAGGCCCAGATGAGAGCATTTTCCACTACATCAACCCAGAGAGTAAGCAGAAAAGCCAGATACCTGTTGTTTGTTCTCTCCCGCCGATTTTCTGTAAAAATCAGGGGTCTGGTGAACAGGATGTCTGTTGAGCCTTTCGGAAATCTCCTAGCAGAGAAGCAGATATGTTTGCAAAGTCAGGAGTGATCTAAGACGCTCCGGACGCAGAAGCAAACGATAAGGAGCTAAAACACCGTGGACACCAGTGAATTTCATGCCCTTTCATTTAAAGAAGGGCGTTGGCCTATCACCTACTACAGGTGCCCACACTTACTTCATCGCAGAATCACGTGGGACACTTGTTGAACATAGATTCCCCAGCTCTTCCCTGTTATGGTTTTAATTTCCACCCAGGTGACTCTTATAATTCAACAGGCTTGAGAAATGCCATATATTTATAAAAGGGGAAAATGCATTAATGTAACAAAAGAAGGGTTTCTGCTAAGCTACCCAAGCACTCAACTGTAGGTGTTGGAGAGGCAATATTTTCACCAACCATTCCTGAAGCTAAGAACTTAAAATGTCAATCTTTAGTAAAATAGCCACCATTCCCAGCCAAAAGTCCAGGCAGAGCAGCCAAGTTCTCCAAGGAAAAGGGAGGTTTTTGAGGACTGCCCAGAGGACCCTGAATCTCTCTCTTTCTCTCTCTCTCTTTTTTTTTGGGGGGGGGGGTCTTTTAATGAAGGGTCCCTTCCTGTCTTTTCCATAGTGCATGAGTTTATAGAACTCTCAGACTGAATGCCTTTTACTTAAAAAGCTTTACTAAATCTGTCAACTTGCAGAAGACTTTCCAAACTGCTCTAAAGATAGAAAATTCTACCTTAGTGAAAAGGGCTGTCATCTCAAAAGGAGGTTGTGAGGTCACCTCCATTTACATACAACTCCATTAAGGATTAACAGAAAGAAACTTGAATACTTTGAATTCTTACAACTTAACCTTCAAATTAATTATTGGTCACGAATTATAGGTCACTAAGGGATACTCAAAGCCAAGTCAACGACCTTTAGAAGCAGGCAAAATGCAAAACGTGAATCTATATAGGTCGGAGAGAAATGAAAACTTAGTGTTTTACGACCGTGACCTTAACTAACATCTGTAAACGCCACTCTTTCCCCCTAGAGAATGCAAGCTGATCTATTTACTCCTGGCAGAGAAGAAAGGAGTAAGGGCGCCCAGGTGCTAAAAGAAAACCATTCAGGAGGACGTGGACCAGCGCCAAGGTCACAGCCCACCTGAATGGGAAATGAAATCCAGGTTCATCCAGCCTAGGGAGACCTGGCTCCTTCCTGGACGCAAGCGCCAGTTAGGAAAGCCTTCCCAACCACGGATCTGGAGACGCGGCCCGCTGCGGGATATATATTCAAGAAGCACTGGATGCCGGGCCTGGGGCCCGGCTCGGCCAGGGCGGCACAGACTTGTGCCCACGTGCAAGGGCTGGAGCCATGGCGTCTCGGCACTCTGGGTTCGAATCCTAGTTCTGCCAGGTCCTGGCCGTGACCGCCCCTGCCCACCAGGGACCGCTCAGAGCTTCGGGTTCGCCATAGGCACAAAGGGGACCGTCCTGTCTCCCAAAGGGCTGGCGTGCAGAATAAACGAAGGGACAGAAACCTGTAAGGAACTCAATCAAGGGTGACCGTGACGATGATGAATGTCGTGACTCGGGCAAATTCTTCCAGCGGAGGCTGGAAGAGCGCGGGCGCCGGAAATGTAGACTTTTAGGGGATCGAGCTAACTCCATCCCGTAGCAGGGGGCTGCGGGGACCTTTGTCCGCGAGCGTCCCGCCCGCCGCCCGCGGTCCGCGCCACCTTTCCCGCGGCGGGCGCCGGGCGGGGCGGGGCTGCCGGCGGCGCGGGCCCGGCGGCGGGGAAGGCGGGAGCGCGGGCGCACCGGCGGGCCGCAGTCCCCAACGGCTCGGCAGGCTCGGCTCGCGGCCCCGAAGCCCCAACGCCGCCGCGCTCGCTCCGGGCCGACTCACTCTCCACGCGGGGCGGGGGGTGGGGGCGCGCGGCGCGCAGAACCCGGAGCCCTCCACCCCCGGCCTCCGCGCTCTGCCCGCCCCCCCCTCCCCCGCGGCCCCGGCAGGTGGAGGCGCCCGGCGCGAGCGCTCCCCGCCCCACAGCCCCCGCCCGCCAACCCGCCAGCGCAACTTTCTTAAAGGGACAGGTGGCCGGAATCCGCGTCTACCTGGAGCCCGGACTCGGCCTCCTGGCCGGTCCCCGCTTAGGGGAGGCGGGGAGGTCTCGGCAGAGCTCTCCGCCCACCCACCTCCTTTCCCCCTGGGGAGGTGACGGAGTGCAAGTTTTAATGCACCCGGCCTCCTTTTGCAACTTAAATCTTTTGGCCGAAATCACCCTCCCACTGCTCCTCAAAGCTTGCTCGCGAGCATGCAGTTGCTGACACCGCTGGCAAAGTTTGAAGAGGGGTGTCCCCACCCCTGCGCACCGCCCCGCCCCACCCCACCCCATCCCACCCTACCCGGAGCCCCGGGGCGTGCAAGGCTCGCGGCTGCTGGGAAACACCCGCTGCAATCCCCTTGACCCTGCCCTGTAACTGACCCTTGGGGAAAAAAAGCCCCCTGCACGGCTACTGCGCATGCTCTGAGCTGGACAGCTCCAGAGAGGGAAATTTAAAAACGGTTCGAGCCGCGACGGCGGCCAAATTGCGGAACGCGAGGGGCGAGCGCGAGGGAGCCCCCCTCCAAAACCCCCGCCCGCCCTAGGAGCGCCTGCAGCGGCGGCCCGGCGAGGATCCGCGCCAGGTACCACCTTGCAGGGTCGGCTTTGCTCCCTCCTCCGGGGCAGTGCCCTGCATTGCATTTCCAGGGTGGAGACCCGGGTGCAGGGGCCGTGGGGACTACCTCTCTCTGCTCCCCTTTTCTCCTTCCCGGGAGTCCCTGAGTGACTTTTGGGGCGGAACTGAGAGTCTTTTGGTGGGTTTCTGCGTTGGTTTCAGGATTGAAGTTTGAGAAACTCAGGGAAGTTTTGTTTTGTTTTTTAGGCTGTGTTTCTGTGTGGCGGGGGGGTAGGGTGCGGGTGGGGGTTGGACTGATTTTCCAGCCAGGGCATGTGGCATTTCTGTAGGCATTTCAAGCGCGAGAGCCCAGCGGGGATTATTCCCTTTGCTAGTGGGAATTTGGTTCCCCCAGAGATATATACATGACACATCAAGCTGTCCTTTTTTTGAAATTTTTTTTTTATTTTCAAAGTGATTGTAACAGAGCTGCGGTTGAAAATAGGCTGGGAGGGAATCTGTTTTTTCTGATTCCTATTTTGCAAGTCCACATTTTCCAAGACTTGACATTTGGATTCTAGAGTCTTCCTCCCCTTCCCCCACGAATTTGAAAGAACCTGCAATTCCATTCCATTCTCTTCCTTTGCTTCTGGAAACCCTGTAGACTTGCCCTGGGAAAGTGACCTGTGATGTCCAGAAATCCTCTAGTACCACTTTTTTTTTTTTTTTCTTTTTGAAGTGTTCTGCTAGTTGTTTGAGTTCCATCCTTCAGAACTGTGGGAAAACCGGGTTTCTACCCTGTCCACATTGTCACTGATGGGAGTTTTTTTTGTGTTTTGTTTTGTTTTGTTTTGTTTTTTGTTTTTTGTTTTCTCCTTCTTGTCTTTTCCCCCGAGGAGATGATAGAAAGTGACATCTCATCCATGATGTCAGGAATTATTCGAAACTCAGGGCAAAACCACCACCCCTCTCCGCAGGAGTACAGGTGAGGGTTGCTTCAGCAATAACAGTCGCTATATTTTTAAATTGTGTAAAGTGTTTCTGTGCTAATGTTTATGGTTTCTGCCCAAGAACTATTGTTACATTAAATTCTGTGATTTTGCAAGAGAGGGAGAAGATCTCAGTCTCAAAATTGGCCTCTCTGAGGGTGTCTGGGCTTGTGGCCTGGGGAAATGGGACCTCTCAAAGCCCAATCTTTTGTCTCCTCCAAGGGAGGTTCCCTCCTGGGTTAGAGACAGGGCATCTTGGTGAATGTTAAGACAATAGATTGCTTTCCCTACAATGGCCCAAAAGGGGCTCCAGGAAATGCCCCCCAAAAGCTTTGGGGGCGTTGTGGTGGTGGGAGGAAGTGGCTTACATCCTCTTTGGATGCTGGAAAAGTTGTGAGTGGGAACTCCTGAATTCTTAGCTTGGCTGTATGATTTTGAGCAAGTCCCTTGCCCTCTCTGGGCCTCATTTGCTTTTCAGTTAAATGATGCTCTTGAATTAAGGTCTCTCCTGGGTCTCATGTATTTGAGGAATAAATTTGGTGGAGTCTGAGGCCAAAATAAATGATTTCTTGAGACAGGATGAAGCGAGGTACTATTGGGTGGGGGAAAGCTCCGCAGAGCCTTTGCCTTTTTGTCTTCAAACGTCAGAGCTCAAACAGCCCCTAGGGGGTCAACCAGTCCAGTTCCCTGCTTTTACAGCTGGGGAGACTGAGGCCAGGAAGGGAGAAAGGGTTTGTGCAAGGTCACATAGCAAAGAGAGGGAGAAAAAGGAATGATCTGGAGTCTCCTTCCAGCCACTCTCCCTTGAGCCCAGGAGGCCTGAACTGGTCCCCAGTGCCCCCACCCATCATGGCAGGCACGTTCACAGGTTGAGGGGGCATGGCCCAGTTTATGAAGTAGGGACAGGACAGGGCCTGGCCTGGGAAGAGCAGGCTGTCACCTCGGATCAGCCCTGTTTACCCAGGGGCTGTCTGGCCTCCTGGAGGCCACTGCAACTCCCCAGCAGTGCCCTCTGGGGTGGACCAAGGCCCCCAATTAGAGGGAAGTTGCTTCCTCAGGGCTGTGGGCCTGGAGGCTGCCTTCTGAGATCCAAATGAAGACGCAGATGCAAACAGCTATTTGCTGAGAGCTTACCATGTGCAGGTCCGGGACCCCAGATGGACTCCAGGCATGCAGCACTCTTTGAGCACCTACTGTATGCCCAGCTTGGGAGCTGCTCTTATTAGCCTCCACTGTATAAGTGAAGAACCGAAGCTTGGAGCAATGAAATAAAATCTTTAATGGAAAGCAGGAAAGCACACAACCACGGACCTCTAGGCTTCTTTCCAGCCCTGAACAGGTTTAAATCATGGCAGGTGGACCAGGGGCAGCCTGAGGGTGTTAGGAGCTAGGGCTGTGAAATCAATTATGATCCCAGCTCTTCTGGCTGTGTAGAGCAGTCTGATTTTCCTTCATCCATAAAATGGGACTAGAAATAGTACCCACCGCATGGAGTTATTAGAAAGATTAAACACAATTTCTAGCTCAGCCACTTGCCAGTTGCATGATCCTGGGCAATTTCCCTTCTGAACCTTCATTTGTCTGCACAGCCTGGCTCATAAAAGTTACCTCTCACTGATTTTAAGTGCAATATCTATGAAATTGTCTGGCCCCCATGAGGCACTCTAGGTCTGGGGGTGGCTCTCCCTCTGTCCTCCCAGCTGGAAGCCGGCGTTGGGAGGTGAGGGAAGCCAGTGCTTCCCTAGTACCATAGAGCCTTATTGTTGCCTAAGGCGCCCCGTAAAAGCCCCAGAGTCAGGGAATCGGGATGAGAACAGGGGCTGCTCTGGAGTCGGATGTGTGTGCAAGTTCAAAAGCCAGCTTTGGACAAGTCGAGTTTCCTCACCTTTCAAGTGAGCACGATGAGGGCATGTCCCTCCTCTGGCTGCTGGAAGGACTAAGTCCGTTTTATAGGGCAAGAGACACAGAACCAGCAGGTGCTCTTGTTCTTATGACTTAGTTCCATCAACGAGGCTGGCTTTCTGCAAGAGAGGGGGTCTAGGGAGTTCCTTGGACCCTCATCTTCTCCCAGGTACTGCCCAACAGGGACTCCCACCTGCTCTAACCCTTGGGGTCTCAGTCTCCTGTGTCTTGGCCAGCCCAGCTCACAAACTGTCTGGGGGCACTGGGCAAGCTGCTTGTGTCCAGAAAGAGCAGAGAGCAGGCAGTAAGCTTACGGGGGGGGTGGGGTGCAGGGGAACTCTCAGTGCCTACCTAGTTCCCTGACCAGCTGGCAGGGCTGGGGCCAGTAGAGTAAGGAGCAGTCCAGCCTCAGCCCCCCACCCAGAGTTGCCTGGGCATCCTGCCTTTCCTGTTTGCATGGATCCAGGACTTTCTTGTGTTCCATGGCGAGCATGCCTGGAAGGCAGGGTAGTAATAAAAAGAATTGCAGCTGGTGGTCTCTTAAGCCTTCACTACCTGTGCCACAACCATCCCCATGAGTGTAGCCTGCCTGTGCCCGGTTTGCAGATGAGGAAACCAAGGCTTGACCTGTTGAAGTGGCTTTACATGATGACACAGTTATGGGTAAAGTGGCGGTCGAACCAGAGGCTGTCTCACCCAGAGGGTATTGTCACCCCCACCTCCACTCCACTCCCATGTCCCACTGGTGAAGAATGCAAGGGCTGGAACAGAATAAGTTGCTCTGCCATTTTGCCGCTGTGTGACCCCGGACAAGTCACTATCCCTCTCTGTGCCTCACTCTCTTCATCTGTGAAATGGAGCAACGAGAGAACCTGGGTCACAAGTTATTGCAAGGATTCTGCAGTGACTTTTCTGCCAAAAAGGAGTTCGGCCAGACCTGGATTAGAGTGCTTTCTCATGGAGGAGAGCTTCGATGATCACATAGTACCTCTCTGGCCCCTTGCAACCACTCCCATTTTTCTCCCTGAATAATAGCCAAGGAGAAGTTTATGGGCTTCTCATTGCCTCTCTTGTGTCTCCAGGGAATGTCTCCAAGGACCACTCAGGCTGCTGGTCCAGCCTGTTTCCAGCCCCCTTGCAGCCCTCCACACAGCCCTCCATCCCCAAGGGCTGCCTTTGGCCGTTAGGTTTCAATGGCTGCGTGTGGGGATGGAGGGGGTGGGGCCGGGGGACAGCAGCTGGAGGCTGCCCTGCCTGCCCCCCGCACCCCCCCCCCACGAGAGCTGTCGGGGAGTCAGTGGCTGGGCTTAGACAGCAAATTGGCAGCAGGCTCCCTGCCTGTGACGCTGGGGCCTGGGGCCAGGGCAAGGGCCAGCCCTGACCCCACGGACGACAGCAACGACTTATGTTAGATGCGAGTTAATCTGTTCCCCTTTGGCTCCAGGCTGGGAGGGAAGTACGCTCATCGAGGTTCTGCAAAATAACGACTTCCTAAGCACCTACTGTGTGCCAGAAACCCATGAAACTCCTTAGGAAGCTCCCCATCCCCTTCAGTCTTCATATAACAACCATGAAATTAGGTGCTGGCGTGATCCCAATTCACAGACAAGGAGACTGAGCCCAGAGACATACATTCAGGAAGGGGCAGAACAGCAGGTTTCCACCCACTGCCCCAACTTCAAGAACTTATCCTAGAGGTCAGGTCCAGCCACCTCCTTTTACAGATTGGGCAACTGAGGCCCAGAGAACGAAGGTAGACTGCTGGCTCCTTGGACCCTCATCTCCCAGAGCCCTATCCCCCCTCTAAGATGTGCACAAAACCCTTCCTCTCTTTGGACAGTGGTTTTCTCATCTCTGAACCACAGTGCTGGGCACAGAATGGATGCCTAATAAATATTCATTGGGAGATGGCTGGCTTGCTCAGTAGCATGTAAGAACACATCCACGGAAATGCAGGGAGGTTTATACTCAAATGATGACAGGACCCTGCCGTGTGGACCAGGGTGGGCAGACGCCACCTGCTTTTCCTCTCGAGCCTCCTGCTGAGCTGCGTGTGTGTGTGTGTGTGGGGGCGGTTTCCCCCCATCAGTGTGGCTCTGCCCATGGGTTGTGACCTCCTTGCAGGAGGGAGGGTGGGGTCTCCATCTGTCAGGGGCAGTGACAGTCCCCACATCTGTACACCCCGTCTCTTTCCGGGTGACCAGAAGCTCCTCGGGCTACCTTGCAGACAAGGAAAAGAGAGGTAGCCTTCCTGGGGGTCCAGCCTTCCTTTGGGGTCTTGGGTTCCACCCCAAGAAACATGGGCACACACATGCACAAACCCACTGCCCACCCACCCACCAAGCAAGTTCTAGCCAAGTTCTAGAAAGGAAAGATTCTCTTTTCCAGGCTCCTAATCAAATCATTTCATACTAAGCTTACTCTTGGCCCCGAATTCCCGAGCTTGCCAAACTGCATTTGGTTTTCTTTTTCCTGTAAACGGTTACAAAAGATATTTCAAAAGCTACGTTAGCTAAATAAACACCACCATGAGATGCTTAGTCCCTTTTGTGTAAAGGTTGGATTGGAAACAGGAACAGTTTGTGGTAATGTAACAATTTCCTACCAACCACATCTCCAGAAGGCAGGTAAAACCTCCGTGTTGTAATCAGAGCAGAAGTGATATCCCAGGGCTGAATGTGCCTCTGGCCTCTGCTCCGCTGGGATGGTAACCTGTTTCTCCAAAGACAGTATTTGCTGTGGGAACCCTTCCTAGGGACCATGCAAAGCCAGAGGAGAGGAAAGAAGGAATGTTGTCTGAGCACCTGCCATGAGCTGGGCTCTCTTCTACCTTCTCTGATCTTATCCTCACAGCTGTCGTCCATGATGGAAATTATTAGGAGAATGATTCCATTTTATAGATGGGAAAATCAAGGTGCAGAGGGGCGAAGTGATTCGCCTAAGGTCACATAGCTTTGTTGAGATGGGATTTGGGTCGTAAATGGTTGTTTCCTTCCATGGCACAATTACTGTATTAACAGTAAGGAACCCCGATATAGGAAACAGAGTTCACTGTGGGCTTTGCACTGGAGCTCTGTAAGCGAAAATCTCCGCA